AAATATTAAGGGGGGGTCCTCCGGTGGGGGGGTCCTCCGGAACCTACCCTAATGTACAATACTTACGATCAAACATAGGAAACTTCTGTTGTGCTAGAATTTCTGCCGTAATAAAATTGACAGTAAAATTGTCTCCCACTTGGCCGTGGCTGACTACGAAGAATCTTTTCCCTTTCTGTATATCTGAAGCAAAGTCTCTAAGTTCCTTTTCAGTAAAACTTTGGAACACAGTGTCCCCGTAGTATTGTAGTCTTACTCCAGGTGTGTATTCCAGATACACTACATTACTTTTTTGGCCTGGTTTTGACTTGTTATCTATTCTGTCTGCACTTAGGATTTTGAAAGCAACAAATTTAGGAAGTGCTTCTGGACGAACATGATGTTCGATCATTTAACTTGGCCAACTTTTCTCGGTAACTCATCTGTAAAAAAATTACAATTTTAGGTTAATGTTAACTAAATTTATGATTGAGTTTTAGTCGTCTAGAAATTGTTATAATTCGTCAGGTTCAAGATTACATTAACGACGGTTCGTGAATCTAAAATGATTAATCCCACCATGACCTACCCTAATAGGTAACGGTAATGTAGGTTAGGATTGCATTTTAAGGTAATGTTCAATAATAAGTTTTATTGGAAATATATGAAATAGAATAAATTGATACATAAAATGTATTGAAACCAATATTTGGAGGAAAACAAACTGGTCAGTTGGAAAATTAGAATGGCAACGTGACCTACGATATTTTGGTTATGTTTGAGGTTTTGTTGCTAGATGTTTTGTTAATATTTCTGACATAAATAATATACAAATATGGTTTGCAAACGTACCTTGAGATGTGGTGATCACTTTTGTTTAATGGCTGGCGCAGATGCTGATTGATTTTGTAGATTTTAATTGACAATTCGGACAGACCGGACAGACTTTAACATGGAGATGGAGGAGGTGGATGCATGTATGGATGCGGAAATGGAAGTGAAGGGTATAAGCGGATGTCATGTGTTTGTTTTGTTGTTGTTATGTTGTTGTTTTTGTTGTTGATGTTGTTTGTTGTGTTGTTTATACTTGTTTTTCATGTCTTGACGTCATCATTGTTTTTGTAAACAAAATGTATTCCAAAAGTTAATTCTTTGTTTGTTGGCCTTAGATGTTTTAATTTGCAACAGTCTTTTAAATGGAAATGGTTGAATGAGAATGTTTTGAAATGATTTGCATCTTGACGTGGCTACGTATGTTAATCCAGTTGAAAATTCTCTCCTTCCAATGTCTATCGTAACCTATAAAAAAAAATTATTTAAACATTTGTTTTTTCTTCTTAAAATTCAATATTATTCTTTTAAATTACCTTGTCTAGTGTGAGTCCTTGTGATTTGTGAATAGTAATTGCATATGCCAATTTTAATGGAAATTGCTGTCTTGTGCAATTAATATTTCCTTTCCCAAGCCAAGACTTATGCAGTGCAGCAATTGGTACTGTTTTGGTTTCTGGATCCAAATAAGGGCCTTTGTATGATTTGAAATTACAGATTATGGCAAATGGTGCATCTTGAGGTGATGATTTTTCCTCTGCATATAAAATATCAACTACTGTCCCGACTGCTCCATTCACCAAACCAGAGATTCACGGGGATTCACCAAACCAGAGATTGTTTGTTAAAATTACAGATGCACCTTTACATAGATGAATGCAATTCTGTAATCCTTTAGCTTGCTCTTGTGTTCCATTTTCAGCTGTTCGGTTATTATGTTGTGCAGGAATTTTTGCTACTGCTTCTAAATTATTTGTTCCTGGTATTTTCATTGAAGCTAATTTTGCATAATTGTATACATAAACTTCTTTCTTCTCAGAAAATAAATGAATGGCTTGGTGATATTCATTTCTTTCATAACTTGGAACATTTAACTTAAATCTTGTACTTATTTTTCTATAATCCTCTTCTGTAATATTCCCAGTGCTGATATTGTCAAGGAGGTTCAAAAAACTTGCATCTGATTGTCTCATCACATGATTTAGTTCAATTACTTTGTCAAAGTCTAAAAATAAATCCTTTCCTTGTTTGTCTGTTATTAGTGGTTGTTTTTCACTGTAAATAGGTGTTCCCATGACTGGCGCTAGTTGCTTGATGTCTCCAAATAGATAAATTATTAAATTTCCAAAGTCATCTTCAAGGTTTTGTTTGGGAAACGTCCGGAGGTCCCCCCTCCGGGAGGTCCCCCCCTCAGCGTGATTTTCACGCAGGCGTCTGCTACCAGCGTGATTTTCACGCAAGTTCAAAAGTGCACATTCTCGAATATCTCCCAAGTGCCCCTTCGAACTTGCGTGAAAATCACGCTGCTAGCAGACGCTTGCGTGAAAATCACGCTAGCTCCGAAGCTTATTCAGCTGAAAATAATGGCATAGCCCCACGTCGGCCTGTTATTGGCTGTTGCACAAAGTCAACTGCTAACCAAAACAGCTCTTTTCACGCTAGCGGCGTGAAAATCACGCTCGCATTTTGTGAACTCTGAATCCACCTTAACAGACGACGCCGTGCCGATGGGCATGCCATCATTAACCATGTTCAAATATTTTCACTTGCGCGGGGAAAGCCGATCGGATCGTCGGGAACAGTATGGAAAATCGCGCACCACGCTAAGATATTGTTCATAATATTTTGGAATATTT